TGCAACATCTTTTTTTTTTTTAAGTATTTTCTCTCTTTTACAGGTAAGGAAACTGAAGCCTAGAGAAGCTCCCTAAGTTGTCCAAGATCAACAACTGGAATCTCAGTCCAAGTCTCTGGCTTCAAATCGGGTGCTCCCCCTCCCCATGACCTCTGTCCCTTCATCTCCATCTCTTCCTCTTCCTGTTAAAGGGGCTGGACTCACTGCAGGTACAGGCAGGAAGGGAGCCCTTCAATTGAACAAGTCTATCCATGCCCTGCACCCACCCAGGGGTTTACAGACATTGCCACCAGGGCAACAAGGCTGGCATTTCCCACTCTGGACTATTTGTTCTTTCTTACTCTTTCTCCTCTTCCCTCCTCCCCATCTTCTCCGCACCCCTCCCACTTCCTCCTCCTTCTCTCTCTCCAGCTGAAACTGCAGAATCTTCTTCAGAAGGAAAATTCAAATAAAGGGAAGCTGTGCCTGGAGCTGGTTTCTTTAAACTTTCAGGGATTCTGTAGGTTTGGTCTTTCCCACCAGAAGCTTTCCAAAGCCACTCTCTTCTCCCCATTGCTGCCCTCTGCCAGGATTCTGAGGCTGCACTGTCCCACAATTTTACAGCCCTTTCCCACTCACATTTCACCATCCTCTCAATAGTCTTTGTTGCTGTGGTGGAAGAGAGGATTCAATGGGCACACAGTCCCCTGCCCACTTGACAGATGAGGAAACTGAAGCCTCACAACTACTTGGAGGCAGGTCATCCATCTGAGTCTGGCTCTTTGCTTAGGTGAATAACCATGGCATGGATCTACTCATGCTATGTCCCATTGTCTAACTTTCTTTTGCTGAAGCTGACTAGATTGGAAGAATAGCCTGACTCCATGGGTTTCCCAGGTTAGTGCCAGAAACTCCCAGGTTAGTTTTCTGCAGAAACTGAGGATATCCTCTGTTCCACTCCTTCTGACAAAAATGCCTCATATAATACTAGAAACATCTGGGCATCAGAAAATACTTCCTGTACTACAGTGCAGCTCAGTGATGGAGTGTTTTCCTAGCATGCTCAAGGGCTCTGGGTTCAATCCCCAGCACTGCAAAAAAAAAAAAAAAAAGACCAGCTACTTGTCTGGCCTCCCTCCACCCCAAGGCAGAAAATTTCCCCAGTAAACGTGCAGTCCTGCAGAGGGAGGTTGAGGTATGACTCTGGAACTAGGGCTTTGTTGCAGCACTTGGGATCAACTGAATCAGGGAAACCAAACACTGGCCATTCTCCTTCCAGATAAGCTGAAAGTTTCCTTTTATTCTTGTCGAGGGAAGGAGCAGGCTTTGCCAGGTGACAAAAATGCTAATGAGGGGGCTGGGGTTGTGGCTCAGCAGTAGAGTGCTCCCTCGCACGTGTGCAGCCCTGGGTTTGATCCTCAGCACCATATAAAAATAAATAAATAAAATGAAGGTGTTTGGTCCAACTACATCTAAAAAATAAATATTTTAAGAAAATGCTAATGAAGACCCAAGAGAGATTGTGCCTGGTGGAAACAGTACTAAACTCTGAGTCGCATAGGGCTCTGCCTATTCCCAGAGGTGTGACCTTGGGCAAATCAGGCTGCCCCTCTGAGCCTGCCTCATGGTGTTGTTGGGAGCAGATGAAGCAATGTTTCAACTCAGTGGCTTTAGAAAGATGCTTATTATATATTGGTATGAAAATCAGTTTACAGAAGATATGCAAAGTAGACCCTCATTACTGTGAAACATAGAAAAATAGTTGAAAGCCTTATACCACAATGCTAACAGCACTGAGTGATGGGATCATGGATGTCCTATTTTCTCCTTTTTGCTTATCTATATTTCTAATTTTTTTCTATGGTAAGTATATATATTTATCACATAATGCTGTATAACATACCAGCTCAAAAGCTCAGTACATTACAATACAAAGATTTATTCTCAGACTCACAGCTCTACAGATCAGCTGCAGTTTGACTGATCTAGGTTGGGCATGACAGGGCTGTAGGGCCTGCTCTGTCTCAAGCTGCAGGTCTATTGAGCCTGGCTCTTCACTAGGACCAGTTCCACATGTCTTCATGCTGAGGCCCTGGCTGGAGGGGGCAATAGCTATCTAGGGTTTATTTCTCCTTCCTGATCACCTTAGTCCAAAAGACAAGCCCAACTATACAAGCACATATAAAGCCTTTGCTTAGCTCATTTCAGTAACATTTCTTTGGCTAAAGCAAGTCACATGGCCAAGCTCAACCTCGAGGAGTCAGGAAAGTGTTGTTACCCACAGTGGGAGTATTATGGTAGTGAATATATGTACATTAAGAACACAAATTGTTACATATTACTTGTATAATACAACAAACATGTGTTTTGCAATGTATGTTCAGAGTATCTACCAGAGTATCCTGTAGGGTTCTCCAAAAACAAGATAGTGGAGCCACTGTATAATCTTGTAGGCTCACCCCTCTTCCTCTGCCTTCTCTCACCCTTTAACATAATGAGATACCACCATTTGTGGCACCTATAGTTTCACAAATGAAGGTTAAAAAAACCAACATAAGTTTGCCCCAATTATTGCCAAAGGCCAGACCCTCACTAGTTCCCACCCAGTGACCAGCTCCAGTCACTTCCGTTGATCTCCTGTCTTTTTACTTCTTTCATTTCACCTGGCCAGTCATTCAAAATTTATTTATTGAGCACCTGATGGTGCTCTTCTAGTCATGGGGTTGTATTTGTGAACAAGGCAAGTTTCCCTGAACAAGGAAGCCTTCTTTCATAGGGTTTGTGTTCCAAAATAAAACAATAAACAATTTAGGTTATTTTGATTTTAATTATGTATACCCAAATTAGGGTTTGCATTCCAGTCAGGAGGCGAGGTGGCTGCTAGGTGTGGGAGGAAATGCAAGAGAGCCAGAAATTATCATTGAGTGTGAGTGTTAAGAAGTGAATAAAATAGGATAGTGCACGAGGGAGCAATGGCGCAAGGGTTGGCAAAGATGGTGGGGTTCCCAGAAGGGGTACTGTTGGAAGTTTTTGGAAGATGTCTCTTGGGTTCTCCAGATCTTGACTCTGAGTCTCACTCGACAATTCTACTTAAAAATTTCCACCACTTGCTCTGCACTTTGGACTGCATGGGGGCCTTCCTGTCCTACCTGTCTTTTAGGACCCAGCCCAGTTTCTCATGGATGCCTGGACCTTAGCTAGTCCTCAACAAAAAGGAAAGCCATCAAACCCTATTAGATCAAACCAAGCACATTTACTGAGCTCCCATCATACATAAAGCAAGCAGGAATTATTGCTTAGCTTCTGGAAGCCAAGCCAACAGTTACTTGTTGAGTGTTTATTGTATATCCAAAGCAACAAGTGTTTATTTACTGTCTTCCTGGAATTGAGGAGAATACAAAGGTAATTGCTGCTGCTTTCTAGGAAGTTGCAATCAGGTTGCAGAGGCAAAGGTTACAAAAAAATAGACCAATGGCTATGAAAAGAAGTACTGGTTATCATGAGGACTTGTACAGAATACCCCTTTGAGAAGAAAGAACTGGGGCTATAGATCATTGTAGAGTAGAGAAGCCATAGAAGGCTTTATGAAGGAGGTGAGACTTGAGCTGGCAGGGGTCAATAGGATTTATTTATTTATTTGTTTATTTACTTATTTATATTTACATATGTGCATACATACATACTGGGGATTGAACTTAGGGGCACTTTACCCCTGAACTACATCCCCAGCCCATTTTACCTTTTATTTTGAGACTGGGTGTCACTAAGTTGCCCAGACTGGCTTTGAACTTGCAATCCTTCTGCCTCAGCCTTCCTGACTCACTGAGATTACAGGCCTATACCACTGTGATTTAAGATTTAGATAGAAAAAAAAATAGGGGGGAATAAAGCTGAGTGGTAGAGTGCTTGCCTCGCATGCATGAGGCCCTGTGTTGGATCACTAGTACCTCCAAAAAAAAGAAAAGATAGGGAATGGGGTAGCCTGGCCTGGGCCTGGGTGTTTGCATTTTGGAATTCTACAGGATCATTCCTTATTTGGGGCTGGTGCTCTCTTCTCCCTGATGTGCCAGCATTCTTGTAACACCCAGCTATTCCATGACCATGTTTCTTCTGGACCAAAGCTGGATTTCTTTGCAGACCATAATTTGCCCGTGTGATGGAGGGCTGACATCATCTGACTAAGGTCAGAATGGGTAGCCTTGTGAGAAGGTGTTTGTGATAAGGGCATAAAAACCATGGAGGTTGGCATTAGGATGTCCAAGTGCAGCACATTTATAGTCCAGGTATTACCTCATCTCCTAACTGAGGAATCTTTAAAAACAGTCATGTTCCTCTCCTCTACTTGGGGCCTTGAGACAGCAGCCACAGCTACTACTCATTTGATTCAAGTATGAACTCAATGGTTTTTTAATAAATTTCTGAAATTTTCTGACATATCATTCTTTTGTTGACTTGGTTGCTAATAATATATTCTGCTTTCCAGAAACTACTCATGAAGAACTCTGAACTGATAAAATGACTCCATTAAAAAATTGTCATTTTCAGGAAAAAAAAGAAAAAAAGGGGGAAAAAAGTAGAGGGAATTTCATCAAAATAGAAGAAAGATAGGTAGAGTAGACCAAGGGGATTGAGGAGAAGGATGAAGGGATGGGAAAGGGGGAAAACAGTGGAATGGATCTGACTGAACTTTTGTATATGTATGCAGGGATGTGACAAGTTGGGTCCCCATATCAGGTTTATCCACACGACTCTAATTTTTAAAAAACAGTGAAGTACAAACTGTAAACAGGTTAAGAAGAGATCGGTGGAGTGAAGGAGGGGAGCAGGTATGGAGGAAAGTGCCAGGGACTGAATTGGAGCGGATTGTGTTCTATGCTTTTGTGATTATGTCAGGGGTATCCTGGTGCTATCTATAATTAAAAAAGAACTAAATAATGATCATTTTTTACACTAAAAATATTTATCCAGTACCACTCTGTATACTCTGGATATGGGGAACAAAAGGGAGAATAAGCCACAGATTATGAATTCCTTTTATGCTTTATTCAGTTTGTGGAAAGAATCTATTTACACAGCTTTCCAAGAAATTTGCTCTCTCCCTCATCTGGGGGTGTATATACCATCTGTAAGATTACTTCCCATTTCATTTGCCTCCAGGTCATATGGGTTGTGTAGATCTCAGGAGTCTTTGAACATCATCATTGTAGGGGGAAGTGTTCAGGCCTAAGACAAAATAAAAACTATAACCAAGAGGCAGATGTAAAGCAGGCTTGAATACTCATTCCATGGGGGAAAATAAACCTTCACAAACTGTCTTCCCCACTGGAGTCCAGGGAAAGGCAAGAAGAAAGGCAAGAAACAGCCATTCCACTGTTTTTCCCCTTTCCCATCCCTTCATCCTCCTCCTCAATCCCCTTGGTCTACTCTACCTATCTTTCCTCTATTTTGATGAAATTCCCTCTCCCTTTTTTTCCCTTTCTTCTTTTTTCCTGAAAATGGTAATTATTTTAAAAAATATTTATTTTTAGTTATAGGTGGATACAATATCTTCATTTTATTTTTATGTGGTGCTGAGGATCGAACCCAGTGCCTCACACATGGCAGGCGAGCGCCCTACCTCTGAGCCCCAGCCCCAGCCCCTGAAAATGATAATTTTTAATGGAGTCATTTTATTAGTTCAGAGTTCTTCATGCCTAGTTTCTGGAAATCAGAATATATTATTACCAACCAAATCAACAACACTGCGTTCTCTGCAATTCCAGACTGTCACTCCTTCTGGAAGAAAGCTAGTGAGCTGCAGAAGGAGGGAACCCTGTCATATGAATATTAAAGAAAACCAGGGGCTGGGGATGATCCTCAGCACCACATACAAACAAAGATGTTGTGTCCGCCGAAAACTAAAAAATAAATATTAAAATTCTCTCTCTCTCTCTCTCTCTCTCTCTCTCTCTAAAAAAAAAAAAAAAGAAAAAGAAAACCAGGCAGCCAGCTCCATGTTTCAACACAGATGCTTCCAACTGCACCATAGCAGGTGGCACATGAGGCATAGAGGTGATTAGGGGTTGATCTCTGCCCACCTGGCCACCACCAGCTGTACAGCTATTAGCCCAGGTCTACCAAGATGTGGACACCAAGACAGGATTAGATGTCAGTGGATTATTAAGCAAATGCCTGTGTGCAAAAAGGGGGATGGAGCCAGGGAGGATGGGAGAGCCTCAGACCTTAAACTACAGTGCAGTTTTAAGAAAGGTTGCAGCAGGTAAGCAAGACCAACAGCTTCACTTTAGAAGAGTCCCCTGACTTCTTGGTCTGTGTTACTGGGAGCAGGCTGTGGGAAGAATGTCTGCAGGGCAAACAACTCAGGTAAATTTTGAGTCTCAGTTTCTTCAACTGCAAAGTGAAGGGTTGTTCAGGGGGTTAAATAAAATAACATATTTAAAAGTGTCTAAAGTAAAGTGCCCAGTAATGTTCAATGCAGGAGAATTCCCTTCATTATCTTATTGTATCTCATCAGGAGGCAAGTTCAGCAGGGTGATGTGATCTTTCTCCTACTGGCCCTTCCCTCAATCATCCTTCCTCCCACCCTCCAGCTAAACACAAAAGGAGGCAGAAGGTGTACCCCAAAGGCCAGAGCCTGAGGGTTTTGGTTTTGGTAGCCACCCCTTCGGCCTTTATCATAAAAGACATGGGGCTCCAGCCTCAGGGTGCAGAGGAGGGAGACCCCACAGAGATGGATAACATTCTTACTTGGGGAACTTACAGCATACTTGGAGAAATGAGCCACATCCCCTTGGGAACACCTTGGGGAGGACCCTAAGGCAGGCTCTACTCCTCCAAATATTTTGGGCTGAAGTCCAGACCACCACTATCACTATTTTGACCTCACCCTCTGTCTTTATCTATGGGCCCTATGCTCCTGCCATGCTGATTGCCAGTCTGTCTCAGTCTGTCCCTCTCCCCAGCCTCATAAATCTAGGCTTTGTTCTTATTAGCCCCTTTCCCTACACTGTCCTTCCCCTTCCCTCACCCTCCTAGTGAATGCCTCTTCTCAGTCCAGCTCAGGTGTCCCCTTACTGGACAGCCCTCCCTGACCCAATGCTCTCACTACTGGCTCCAGTCCCCTAGGTATGTCACCTACCTCTCTGTGCTTCAGTCTCTAACGGGGAAATGAGGGTGGTGATAATAGTGCCACCATAGCTAATTAAATGAGATGATAAAAGCACCATTAATGGGCTGTATAAGCAAGCATTATGGTCAATGATAGGCATGTGTCCAGCAGACACTGGCCAGTGAACACACAATACTCCATGATGGAGGAGGGGGAACACAGAGTGTAGTAACATGGGGGACGTGCTGGACTCAGAGTTGCTGCTGGGTGGGATATGTGTTCCTCAGCCAACACTTGTCCTCTCTGGGTCACGTTTTCCTCCTTTGTATAGTTGGGCATGTCCTCCAAGGGCTCTTCTGGCTATGCTAGCTTAGCTCAGAGGCTCTGGGATCCTGGGCTTTGCAGGCATTGCCTGGGCTCTGAGGCCCTTCTTAGCTCCACTACTGGTGCTGACTCCCTAGGCTGGACAGCTCCCATACCATTTCCGGAGGCAGCAGAACCTCCCAACTCTCAGCATCTGGACAGCACCTCAAGCTGGGAGAGCTAGGGCTTCTACAGGCAGACCTCAGGCCCAGAGCTCCCAGGTGGTGTGTGTGTGTGTGTGTGTGTGTGTGTGTGTGTGTGTGTGTGAGAGAGAGAGAGAGAGAGAGAGAGAGAGAGAGAGAGAGAGAGCTTTGAGTGCACCTGGAGGAGGAGGAAGGCACCAGCATCTCTCAGACTTTCAGGGTCTGGGCAGACTCTAAATCTTAGAAAATGTGGCTTGGGGGGTCTACCTACAAACTTTGGGTCCTAGATTACAAAAATCATTTAGACCTTGATATTTTAATTTGCCTTCGACCTATTCCTCAATGCACTCCCACCCCTAACACTACCACAAAGCACAAAAGCCCTTACATTTATTATCATGGGCATTTGTATGAAATCATAGATATTTGGACAGGTACATATATTTTCATGTAGGAATCCATAGCCCAGTTTTAAACCAAAATGTTAGCAAATAGCCAGACTGACACCTATGAATTTGTGAATACCTATATATTTATATCAGTTTCCTACATAATTTTGCATATATTTTCATTCATTTATTCATTTATATTGATGTATATGTTTATTCCCTAACCCTAATCTTAGCACTACCCCTACTTCTACCCTTAACATTACCACAAATCACAAAAGCCCTTGCACGTGTAATCATGGGCATTTATATGGAAATCATAGGCATTTTGACAGGTACATTTATATACTGGATAGATCTTCTTATATAATATCATATAAACATACTTTCATGTATGAATCCATGGGCCAGTTTTAATCACAATGTCAGCACACAGCTACTCAGAAACATGTATGATTGTGAAAACATATATACTTATGTAGTCTTTCTTACATAATTTCATGTATATTTTTATTGTTTATTCATTTATGTGGATATATTTGTTCATTCCCTAACTCTAAACCTAGCCCCACCCCTCAATGTACTCTCACCCAATCACTACCACAAAGCACAAAAATCATTGCACGTATAATTATGGGCATTTACATGTAAATCAAAGATTTTTGATAGGTACATTTATACACTCTCATAAAATATCACATATATAAATATATTTTCATATATGAATCCATGGTACAGTTTCAATCCCAAATGTCAGCACAAAGCTAGACTGACACCTATGAGTTTGTGAAAACACATATATTTATATAGTTTTTTCCTACCTAATTTCACCCATATTTTCATTTTTTTATTAATTTATATCAATATAGTTGGTTATTCCCTAATCCTAACCCAAGCATTACCCTTAATGTATTCTTACCCCAAATATTACCACAAAATGCAAAAGCATAGGCATGTATAAGCATAAGCATTTATATGAAAATCATAGATATTTTGACAAGTACATTTATATACTCACACACATATATATATATATTCACGAATGATTTTATAACCCAGTTTTAATCCCAACTGTCAGCACACAGCTACTCAGAAATGTGAATGTGAAAATATATATATTTGTACAGGTCTTCTTACATAATTTTACATATATTTTCATTTATATTGATATTTATGTTCATGTCCTAACCATAACCCTAGCCCTGCCCCTTAATGTTAGGGCTACCCTTCCTCTACCAAAAAACACAAAAGCCCTTGCACATATAATCATGTGCATTTATATAAATATCACAGATATTTTGACAAGTGCAGTATATAAGAGAGTATATCTCTTATAATATCATATACATATATTTTTTTCTTGTATGAATCCATTGCCCAGTTTTAAACCAAAATGTCAGCACAAAGCTAGACAGACATCTATGAATTTGTGAAACATACAAATTATATATTTTAACATAATTTCACATATATATTAATTTTTTAATCACTTATATTTCTCTATATATTCATTTCCTAACCCTAACCCTACCCCTACCCCTCAATGTTCTCCTACACTAACATGACCACAAAGCCGAAAAGCCCTTTTTTATTTTCTTTTTTTATTCATTAATGTTGATATATTATTTATTCCCTAACCCTTACCCTAACACTATCCCTAAAAGTACTCCTACCTAACACTATAACAAAGTCCTTGCACATATAATCATGGGCATTTATATGAAAATCTTAGATATTTTGATAGGTACATTTATATACTCACATATAATATCATATATAAATATATGTTCATGTATGAATCCATAGCCCAGTTTTAATCCTAAATTCTGAACCCAGGTGCTCAGAAACCTATTTGATTGTGAGAACATATATATTTATATAAATTTTCCTAAATAATTTCACTTATATTTTCATTCACTTATACTGATACATATGTTCATTCTTTAGCCATACCTCTAGCTCTACCCCTCAATATACTCCTACCCTAACACTGCCACAAAGTGCAAAAGCCCTTGCACATCCAATCATGGGCATTTACATGAAAATCATAGATGTTTTGACAGGTACATTTATATACTCACACATAATGTTATATATATATACTTTCATGTATGAATCCATGACCTAGTTTTAAAGTTAAATGTCAGCACACAGCTACTTAGAAATATGTTTGATTGTGAAAAAATACATATTTATGTGGGTCTTCTTACATAATTAATG